CTACTACTACTACTACTACTACTGGCGATGATGATGACGACAATGTTGGGGATGATGATGCTGATGAGGTTGCTGAGTATGAGTCTCAACATTATCATAATTAGCATGATCATTATTATTATTATTGGCGAGATTGTGCTAATAAACATCATATTGGTTGTAGTCGTTTTAGTAGCATCAGTACCGGCAGTGGGAGTAGTAGTAGGAGTCGGCTGGTCCGCATAAAGTCCCACTTTCGGTTTCCGACGCAAGCTTCGACTCTGTCCGCAGCCAAGTCGTGCTCGCTTTCACTCGACCGAAACATGCTGGCCTCGATTCCCAACAGCTGATTTGGCAGTCCGGCCTTGCGCTGACCGGTTGACCGATTCGTCGCTTGTCCATTCCTCCATTTGTTGAGTTGTCCGCTTTTCTGCTTGTTCCGCTGTTTGGCTGTTCGGCTGTTCGGGTGTTTGGCTGTTTGGCTGTTGACCGGTCGAGACAAGTGAAACGACGTTAGCTGGTGCCTTGACAGACGTTACCTCTCGAGACCGACAGTCGACGCGAGGGATCGATTGTGTCTACGAGACAAGTGAACCTACCGGTCACCATTGGCAACTGGTGCCTTGAGTGACCGGATTGCGTAACGACCCTCGACTCGGGTGGGCCGTCCACGCTTGCAGCGGTACAGACATGCGGACAAGCGCCGAGTTCGTTCGTCTCTGCTGACACGGTTTTTGGTGGGAGGATGGTACCAATTTGTGGTTGCATTCAGTCGAGCTGGACGGAGACTGGCAGTAAGGTCGGAGCCTCGAGACTGGGCTCGAGGGGGGGTGGGGTAGGGGTGGGCGAGAGGGGGACATGCAGGTGTGGCAGGCTAGCAACAGGGCCGGAGGGAGAGGGTGACGATGAGTGCCACCAACAGACACGCCAACAGCAGCGACACTGTCCGGACTGACGACCGGCTGGCGCCCGCAACTTCGTCTCTGCCCGGCATGACATGCGCGACTTGTCGGCTCTTGTCTGTGCGTCTGCGACCCAGATTGACCGCGTTGCGCTGTTGTCAACGCAGTGCACGACAGCACTCGGCTCCGAGTCCCGCCAAGGGCCGTCGTGATTGGTCGGTCGGGCTGAAAGCACTCTCCTCTCTGCTCCGCTGCCTTCCGGTTGAGACGAACAGGTTGACAAGTTCTTCAAACAGGAGTTTAAGCAGGAAACGGATGCCAGAACTTGAAGCTTCAGCTCGAATCGTCCCCTCCAGAAGGCATCTCGCAATTTGATTGGCCACTTTCCGGCTTTGCGAAAAACTGGCGTCGGTGATCGCATCGAGGAGAGCTAACTTTCATTTCGAGTGAGAGTGTTGCGTGAAGACATTCGAAGTTTGCTTCCACCAGAAGACGACAATCTCATTCGATTCCGGCGTAAAGGTGCTAAGCTTTCGTCCGTCACATGACGAACATCATCAGAGTATCGAGGGTATCATCGTGACAACCAAATTGAAGCTAACGAGTCAAGAAAACTCACCGGCAAATCCCTAAAATGTGTTATAAATACTCTAAATTTGGCCTCTTTGATCAAGAATAAAGTGATTTGATTAGTTTAGGTCATAGATCAACTTCGATGTCTGTGAGTCTGTTTGTCTCTGTGTGTGTATGTGTCTGTTTGTGTTCGCTGATGCAGGAAGTCCGCAGTAATGGCTCAAAGTAATTAGGACAGCAAAAGTATTATATGTTTTCGGCCATTAAGGTTTAATGACCCACTTTCTACATTTAAGTTATAACCATCTCTCCGATTTCGCAAGGTCAGACCCACGTCTGGTTGTGTTGATGAGCCTTTTTCGGTTTTTGGTCTCAATGTGAGAGAGAAAGAACGATTTAAAAGTACAGAAAAGTGACTATCATTAGAACTAAGACAAGAAAAGACTACG